CTCAATGCCAGTTTTTGTTTTGATCTCTTTGTACTTGAGCAGATACTCGCAGGTCTGCAGCTGATAGAGGCGTCTCTCCTTTTCCATTTCATCGGCAACAACGGCAGCATCGATCTCTGTGCGCACCATGCCCGCCTCCTTGGCCTGCGCCTTTTTCTCTTTCTCGATTTTGATAAACTTGGCTTCGTAGTCTTTGGCCGCCTTATCGAAGGGCCGTTTCATATCGCCCTTAACGCCACGCAGCTCGCTCTTTAGCATCGAATCCACCGGAAACATCACAATGTTGTTGATGTTTTGCATCTGGCATTGAAAGTGGGACAACAAGATAAGTTCAGGGTTAGTCAAAGTATCAACATGTCCAGTGCTTTACTTAGTTTAAATCAAAGGCCCTATATCTGCTCTGCGAACAATAAAATCGCAGCGTTGCCACCTTGTTGTGATATTATTTTAATCAGCTAGTTCAACTATCATGAACTTTGCAATGAACTTGAAAAGAGTGGTCGATAAATATGAATATTTGCCTTAATTTCTCACTATATATATATATAATGAAGTTGAGAAAACTGACCTGAAAACTCTACATATTTATATTTATTTGTTTTTTCCCTGGTTGATCGTATTATGTACATTAAATTTTCTATTGTGTATTCTAAAGCTAACGCACTTTACAATTAATATTGTTTATCAGTTAGAAAGCAAGCTTCAAAGTTTGTTATTGTTATTTCTCTAGCACACTTACCAGTGTTTTCATCAGCGCACTGAGCTCTTTGGTGACCACAGAGAACTTGAGAAATGCGGCCCCAATATCGGGCTCATCCTGATCAATGACCTTGCCGCCCAGACGCTCCAGCGCGCGCACCATGAACATTTCATTGTCCACATGAGCTAGATATATGAAAAAAGAGTTGTATCTAAATAAGTATGAATCAATAGTTATTTCCACTTACTATTGCCAGAGTTGTGTATGGCTTTGACGGCCTTCTTTAGCTTGGTAAGGCCCTCGCGATCGAACTCCAGACGCTGCAACGACGAAAAAATACACAAATGATTGGTGCTCAAATTGATAATCTTATCTGGACTGTTATATATATTTAAACTTGAAAAGATAATTTTCCCAAAATGTGTCTTGTTCAATTTCAAGCATCAATTAATACGATGCATTTTCTAAGAGGGTTCTACTCTTAACCCCTTCACACAAACTCATGCATCTCCATGACTTGTTTAACCTCTTGACTTTTCAATTAATATTAATTCATTTCATTGAATTAGAGACGCTCGCAATCAGAGCCTGTTCTACGAAATTGAAATAAGTTTAACAAATTTTAAACCCAAGAAAACGCTTATTATTAAATGCTGCTCAATTGAGCAATTGTGGATAAGAAACCCAAGTACATTTATATTTATATGTGATAAAGTTCCTTTAAACAAAAGAATTATTATAGATATTTTGCGGTTTATGTCTTTTTATATCAAAAGCAATAATAATGCAAATAGAAAGCAAATATATGAAAAATGAAAAACAATTAAGCCAGAAGAACTTCGGAAACATTTTTGAGCATTATTGCGTCGGGCGACGCCGGTTAATTTCGACTAGTTTATATATAGAGTTAAAGCGCCTTTCCACAAAATTGAAAAAAGTACAAATATTGAACAATCGAAGAATCAATGATTAGATAAATGCTTTAGATAGTATATTTATTAGCTTATACATTAGTTTAGAAACTCTGAAAACAGCAAAACAATTGACGTTTGTAATTTCATAGTTAAGGAATTCGACATATAACAGCTAAAATAGTGCGATAAGCGAAGACTGCGAAGATGTTTAAGGCGTGCTAATAAAGATTAGTCATGTGTTCATAAACATTTGCAGCTAAGTTTATGGCAAATATTTGGAACGCAAATTGCTTAGAACAATAACAAATTAAGTTGGTCAACCCGACAACTGGTTTCCGTTTCTCTTTCTAAGCGACAAAGTCGCATTTTTTTTTTCTTTTTTATTCTTCTGTTATTCCGTTGTGTCTTGATAACAAAAGACGAAGTTCGTTAGACGCCTGGTCAAGTTACTTTTTAGCCGAAATCGCATTATATTTATATTATTATTATTATTATTATTATTATACAAATACGTATTGTGTATCAGCTGCGCTGTAAATAATAGCCTTATTGTGTGCGAGGATTTAATACTTATTTCATATAGACCAAACATAAAGGTAAATTCTATATGTATTACAGCAAAATTCTATTCTCGGCTGTGCCAAAACACAGACAAAAAGGTGTGTCTCGCGGGTTTATTTATTGATTTGCCCGTTTTTTTTTTTGTTTTTTTTTTGGGTCGAACTGTGAAACCCATCAGTGTAATTAAATATTAAACATTTAATTCGCTGTCAAACATTCGTCCGGAACAAACAAAATCAGGGCGCGCTCTCAGGTGACGTGTCTTGAAAGAAATTAGGGCTAATTTAGTGCACATTGGTACCAAATCTGTAAAACAATGTCATTTGGTTCATTGCATGAAAAGCTTTCGGGGGTTTCTTTTTTTTTTTGGGATTCTGTAAATTCCACGTAAGTATTATTCATTAGAGGTAATCTTCCCAGGTTAATAGCTGAGCAAACGCGAATTACGTTTAATTGTATTCATTTATTACAATTGCGCCAGCTTAAAGCTTTAGGCTAGCTTAATTTACCATTTTACAGAGCTTTTATTCAACGTCAAGCTTTTAAGCTCAAATTAAAATGAAGCACATCTATGTTATATATGCCCGAAGACCACGGTGCGTCTTCTGACTGCAATGGCTAATTTTAGCAAAGGAATTAGAGCGCAGAGATTTCGACGAGAAATGTTTTAGGGAACTGCCAAGGCATAGCCGATTTTTATGCGTAATCAAATGTGGACGCGCACATTTGATAAGCTTCGATCGCGGGAATGCAACAGCTTTAAGCTAAATATGCGACACATATGCTGACGTCTGCTTTATCATTCGCCTTTCCGCCCGCACTTGCCCTTATCACAGCAAACGCATAACAATGTGTATGTGTGTGCGTGTGTGCATGTGTGTGTGTGTGTGTTTTTTTTTATGGGGAGTAACAGCAGCTGCAATGACTAAAAATAAAGTATTGCGTTGTCGAGTGGCCACGCCAAAAGCGGCTAGTGGGCGGAGGGTTGGAATTCAACGGGCCAGCTGCATTGATTTGAGAATGTGCACTTTCATTATTTATGACTTTTAATGTAGGGAGAAGACAAAACCACCTGCAATTGCCGCCGCCGACGACGTCATCGTAGAACAAATGCAAATTGTATGGCAACCCCGCAAATGGAGCGAACGGGGGGGTGTGTACAGGGTGTGGGGGTTTAGTTGGCGCAGCGCCAATTTAATGCAATACCTATTTGTTTTAATTTTTGCTTTCCATGGGCCCCACTGTGAAAGTACATAATAAACAATTTTTTTGTTTGTGGGGGAGAGTATATAAGACGGCACAGTATATGCAGTAAATGTGTGTGCATGCAATTTATAGCGCTGGATCATTGATTAGCTACCTTGAACTTATGTGAGCGGGTGAGCGAGAGAGAGAGAGAGTGTGAGAGTTAATGCTTACCTCTTCCAATATGCTAATCGTTTGACGGCAATCCGGCATGCGGGACGCAAAGGTGGAGGTGGTGGGCGAATTGTAATCATCGCGCGTCTCCTCCACGAACTCGGAGATGCCAATTAATGCTGGCGGCATTTTTATATTGTTGTTGCTTTAATTGCTTCTGGGCACACTTTTTGTATGTGTTTTTTTTTTTGTTTTCGCACACTTGAAAACAGCACAACGGGCGCAGGCGAACTTCAAGGACACCCAGGCAACAACAACAACAACAAAAAACGAGAAATGACGACTGCAAGGCAAAGCAGAAATACGACGCGGACACGAATGTGTTTTGTGTGCCGTTTTTGAGTTGTAGCAGCAGACGGCACAGCTGCTGCTGCTGCGGGCAACAATAAAGGATCACACGACGAGGCAACAGGAATAAACAGGATAACAACGACAACGTTTACGATGCCTTCTCCTCTTCGTGTTTGGTGTGCGTCCCCGCGTCTATGTGATTGTTTGTGCGTGAGATAGTACGTTTGTATTGGTATTGGTGTAGGCACGTACGTCTGTATGAGAGCAACTATTGCTCTCTTCCTTCTGCAGCAATTTTCACGTTACTCCTTTTGATATTGTACACTTTCACACACGCTGCCGTTGCACATTTGATTTACGCACACATTTTTTGTTGTTTGCCGTACAATTTTTTAGGCGCGCCACCTGATCGCCTCATCTTGCAGCAAAATTCGAGTCGCAGTCGCAGTCGAAGCGCAATTAATGTTACAGTAGTAGAGAAATGCGCCGCGCATATTTACACACAACAACTGTTTTGTCACATTGCTAACACTCATCAATTATTGTTAACAATTGGGCATAGTTAGTGGCGATTTTTAAATTTAGTTACGACGAGCCCGGGCCGGAGTAAAATTAAATATTATTAATATTGCAATTTTTTGCTGCTCTGCTGGCGTCGTCGTCGTCGCGTACAATGTAGCAGTGTTGTCCATACTTTATGTTCAGGAAAGTACTAAATATGCCTGAAATATACAAATCGTACAGCCAGCACAGCGGCTATGAGTTTTAGGGCTGCACACTCAAAAAGCTGTTGAACAAAGCTGGTTCTCAAATGGATAGATCCCAAAGAAGTGTTATATAAGGTCTTTAAAAACAATGCCTCTTAAATAACACATTTTGAACCATTGCTATAAATTCGTTAATTTTTCACATAAATACCGCCTCAATAGTTTGTTACACATACAGTAACTTTATAAATAAATAGAATGCAGCCGATATATTTGTGCACCTATATAGCAAGAACGATACGCTGCATACCTGCCCTGAACTGGCTAAATAGAACTGCAGAAAAATAGTTCAATTACCCAGTTCCATGAACTCGTTTGTGTTCACTCAGTACTGAACAAGCGAGCACTGCAATATATTTCCTTTTTGCTTCTGAAACATACATATATATTTTGTACATTAATAATAACAAATGGCTGGTAAACGGCAAGCTACATCGAATCTGAACCACGATAACTGGGATCAAGAGGATGAGCCAGAGGAGCGCGGCACATTCCGAACGGCGCCACCGGAAGAACTAAAAGCACGCGTTATCAAGAAGGCAACAAGGCGCAAGGCGGCTATCGGCTCGGCAGACGCCGACGATGCCGGCGAGAGTCCCGGCAGAAGTGTATTTAGCGGCTTTTCAGGTGCGTTCAAGTTATTCAAAGTGGGTTTGTTTCATTGATAACACTTGTTGGCGTTTAGGTTTTGGCAAGCCTGCAGCAGCCGCAGCCACCGGCACTCCGTTTGCATTCCTGTCTAACTTGCCGGCTGCGGCTGCAACTGCAACGTTCGCTGAGAGCTCCCCAAAGCCAAGCACGAGCATCAGCACCACCAAGGATGATGCAGCAATAACACCACCACCAGCCAAACGATTAACAGTTGAAGCAAATATCAAGAATGATTTAACGAGCAACTCCCTGTCCAGCAGCAGTCCCAGCACAACCCGAGCAGTCGCAACAACTTCCATTTTTGGCAATACATCAGCTAACGATCCAACAACAATGTTTCCCAAGACACCCGTCTCGATGTTCAAGTCGGCGGTGCCCGCGGAGAAGACAACAGCGGGCAATGCAATCACCGCCTCATTGGAATATCGCGATAATGTGGCTGAATTGAACATGGCCGTGATGAAATTCCTGCAAGAGCATATGGACAAGAATCCCTATTGTTTACTGAGCCCAGTATTCGACAGCTACGACAAGTACGCAAAGGAGTTGCGACAGAAGGATGAAGCCAAAAGTAATGCCACGTCAAGCCTGACGAAGACGCCTTCGCCATCAACAAAAGCAGAAACAACAACAGTTGCAGCACCAACAACAAAAACAACAGCAGCAGCAGTAACACCGAAACCACCAACAATAACGCCAGCAGCAGCGGCATTTGCAACGACCGCACCTGCTGCTGGCTTCTTCTTTGGCAAACCCACCACAACGACTGCCACCGGGACAACTTTACCGTCCTTGTCCTTTGGCAAAAAGCCAAATTGCACAATTACCAGTGGCGGCACCACAACCACTGTGACGGCGCCGCTCTTTTCCTTTGGCAATATACAAAAGCCAAGCACCACACCAACCAAGTCTGAGGCAACGTCCAGCACAGCTTCGCCGGCCAGCATTTTCAGTTTTGGAGTCAAACCGGCAACAACGGCTGCGAGCAACAAAACGGATTCACCCAAGCAGGGCTTTTTCTTTGGCGGCCAAGAAGCAGCTGCGGCTGCTGCTGCCGCCACCGCCACCTCGCCGCCTAAAACGAACGGTTTCAGTTTCGGCTTGAAGTCAGATGATAAGCCATCCACATCGGTCTTTACCGGTTTCGGCAAGCCTCCCGGCGAGACAAAATTGCCAGCTCCCAGCACTGGATTCTCCTTTACAAGTGGCACAACGCCATTTTCCTTTGGCAATGTAAAGCCGCCGACAGCCAGCGAAAGTGCTGAAACCAATGCAGATAACGAAGACGAGGATAGGCCGCCGGTAGTTGAATTTAATAAGGTAAAACTCGATACTTTCAGGTAGTTTACGAGCTAGCTTAACTAGGGTCAATCCCTTTTTTTTTTTGACACCATTCAGGTCGTTGAGGACGATGCCATATTCTCGAAACGCTGCAAGGTGTTTGTGAAAAAGGACAAGGACTTTGTTGATCGCGGCGTGGGCACGTTGTATTTGAAGCCCGTTAAGGATTCGGAGAAAACACAGATGCTGGTGCGTGCCGATACCAATCTGGGCAATATACTGGTCAATCTGATACTAACCGATGGTCTGCCATGCCAGCGCATGGGCAAAAACAATGTCATGATGGTGTGCATACCCACGCCAGAAGAGCCCAAGGCATTGTCCATGCTGTTGCGCGTAAAGACCGGCGAAGAGGCCGACGAGCTATTGGAGCAAATTAAAAAGCATACAGTCTGAAACATTCACTAGATGAGGGAATTCAAACTCACGTACACATTTATGTTATTTGATCGTTTACATAAACAAACTATGAAAATATAAACGCATGGAAATGTAAGGAAAAACAATAAACCCTTGTTAATCCACAGAGGCCACAATTACCTTAGCGTCGATTAGCTCTCTGAAGTTAACAGTTAAAACGCGCGACGAAGTGTCCGAGTCATCCAAGCAGCTAGAATATTGGTGTAGTAAGTGACGAGCACCGTTTGGACATGCTGTAATTATTTGAATTCAAAAACGGCTATCTTATGGCTTTATTCAAGTTACATACCGATAACGTCAATGGTCATGGATCTCGTGCGACGATTGATATAGTTACAGGTGCCAGCTATGTAATCGGTGTTCGCGGCAGGCTGTTGTACGCCCTTTGATTTGGCCAGCTTAAAGATGACAGTTTCGCCCACATTCGGTAGATTCGTTAGGGGCGCCGCATTCTTCAACATGTCCGCAATAATATCCAATGTATCATCCTTTTTTACAGGCACTGGCTGTACATCCGAGTCTGAGTCGTCTATATTTGTGTCATCCAGCACCATAACATCGTCCTCAGAGTCTGAGTCCAATAAGCTCTGCGTTGGCTCCTCGGCAATCGAGTTATCCTGTAGCTCTGGGCTATCTTGCTTTATTTGTGCGCTTTCTGGACCAAGCTGGGGCGGAGTAGCTGGCTTTGTTTCCTCTTGTACTACTTCTTCTTGCTCTACTTCAGCTGCCTCTACAATTTCGGCTGATATGGCTGGTTCCAACGGTTCAAACACCACTTGCTCAATTTCCTTTGGTGCGGCCAGCGCCACGCTTAGCTTTGTTGCAGGGATTACAATTTCTTCTATGATTTTGATGGGCTCTGATTTGCGTGGTAGCTTCAAGACGCGCCCCGCATTACAGTCCAGCTCCATCAGCAGGCTACGAAATTCAACTTCCTGCACCACCGGCTCAACCCGATAGCTCGTCTCCACGGCTGTGATATCTGCTGGCTCGTTTTCCTCTTCATCATCTTTGTATATTATGTGATTATTCGAGTTATTTTGCTTCTTAATGCTACTGAGATTCTTTGATTGGTTTGGCGTGCTGGGCGCAGTAACGGTGACTGCCGATTTATTATGCTCTATACAGCTGATCTCTGGCGCTTGTGGATCCTCTTCAAATGATTCAATCGAGCGCTTGGACTTATTTCCCTTAACACTTTTCTCACTATTCCCATTTGTGTTTTCTATTTGTACTGTGGGTTCCCCAAATCTTGTTTCATCTTTTTTAAAATTTTTGCTCTTCGAGCGCTTGGGTAGATTTGGCGTGGAGCTTATTAATTCTTTTTCCGATTCAGCCGATCGATTTTTTCGCTTTTTGCTAGTTTCGGCAAAGCACGAGGGGTCCTCTACCCCATCCCTAGAACTTTTGCTGGGCACGTCGAGCTGAAAGGCTTTTAGCGACTGCGCTGATTTGATTACTTTGATGGACTCCTTTGGTGGCACATAGCATCCATCGTGGGTTAACAAGCTTATGTCCTTCTATAAGAAATTTATTGAAATAAATATATAAATTCCAATAGCCAGTAACTGCAACTGAACATACCAGGTAGAACAGCTTCTGGATATGATCTTGTAATTCCTTGACATTCTCCCATGTGACATCAACCAAAACCAAGGAGCAGCTGCGTGCATCGCTGAAGAAGTTGGATAGATCCACTTTTATAGGAAAATTGTGCATCCTAAAATTGTTGTATACAGGTTTAAAAGAGCATACAAACAGCCGTGTGTACACACTGGTCTATCGGTAGCATATCGATAATAAATATTTATCGAGTGACAATTACTTCAATTGACCTTTGGCAAATACTTACCTCGTATGCTCGTTATTCAGCTGTTTCAATAGTTCAGTTCCCAAATCACTTCTAACACATTCCATTACAATCTCAATTAATGAAACATCAAAGTCAGAAGGAATTACCTGGATTGGTGAGAGGCGCGTAGAACGGCGTTATTCGATAAAAGCATCGACCGATCAATAGAGTCTTATTGAATGAGACTAGGAGACTAGACTGAGCTATTTATTTATTTTATATTTCTACACTCTGAAATTTTTGTTTATTTAAGAACTATGTACAGGGTAGCAACTAGTCGAGTCCATGCGTGTATCGTGCGTTTTTACTTGCGTAAAGTATCGATATATTTAACATCCCTCGCAGCGAGCCCTATCTACTTCTTGTATACTACTCCAACGAAAACGAAAACAAATAGTTTCTTATCACATTGAATTTAAGTTTAGTCATCCGAATATCTACCACGGCTAATTATGTGATATATACACAAAAATCGCAACCCAAAGACTCGCGCGCGAATTCCGAAAATATGAGTAACGGCGAGAATAAGTCAAAATCACGAAGCCAAAACCAAGGCCAAGGTGCTGCTGATGGCAGTGCGAGTGGGAGTCAAGCAGCGCCCACGGCCATCGGGTCCACAGAGCGGAATCGACCCAGCACTGCAGCCAGCCAGGGAATGTTAGCTGCCGGCAGCACAGAACAGAGTATGTACATTTTGGATACTGGAAGATTGGGCCAAATCTTAGCACATTGGCCAAATGCCCTTTACTAATTCCTGGCTTTAACCCATCCAGGCAGTGCAGCAACATCCGCCTCTAAGGAGAAGCGCAGCTGGTTCCATTCGCTGACCAGGCGCAAGAAGTCGGATTCAGCGCTGGCCAGCTCGAGCTCAACAGTTGCCGCCGGCGCGCATTCAGTGCAGCTGCAAAACAACAACAACGAGCCGATCGCTGGAGCCACAGAGGCTAGCTCCAGCACGGCGGCATCCGTTAGCAACAGCAGCAGCCTGGGTGGCGCTCTGCGCAAGCGTAAGGATAAGAAGAACATGTTCTCGCGTATACGCAAGAAGATGGGGCTGGGCCTGAGCGCCCTGCGCAACTGGCACTCCATGGGCGATGATTGCGATTGCGATGGCGGCACCACAGATGCCATGTACGAGTTTCTGGCGCCGCCTATACGCGTGGAGCCCTCATTGCCATTTACGCATGACTACAAGCGTTTCATACGAAAAAAGTGGATGGAGCGACAGGATGCGCCAAATGAGGTCATGTACAAGGCCTGCCTGGAAATGCTCAAGTATGTGCAAACGTGTTCCAGCAATGACTCATTTACCTGATGACGAATTGTCTTTCTTCCTTTCTTTCAATATTTCCTTGTTGTTGCAGTCAAGTTTGGTACTGGGGCGAGATTTCGCGACGCGATTCCCAGCGCCAGCTGAGCGATAAGCCCACCGGCTCGTTTTTGGTACGGGATTCGGAAACGAGCGGCTCACAATTTACGCTCAGCTTTCGCATTGTGAACGTCACGCTGCATTATCGTCTGGAGTATCGTGATGAGTTTTGGCACTTTGAGGAATTGAAATACGAGTCGATTGTGGATATGATTAAGGACATTCTGCATCGCTGCACAAACGATAATTTCGTGTGCTTTGTCAAGGTGCCGAACGAAATGCAGCCCCCATTTCCAGTGATACTCAAGTATCCATTAAGTCGTTACTTAAACATGCCCAAGCTGCAGGATCTGTGCCGGCGTGTATTGCAGAGCCAAATGACCGTCGCTGAGCTGGCCCAGCTGCCAGTGCCAGCCCAAATGCTGGAGTATCTGTCCGTTGAGCGTGAATTGGTATTCCAAAGCTAGGCGCATGGCCAGTGCCTGGTATTAGCTTTAAATCCTAGTGAAGAGCACAGTCTAAGAAACCAAAGAGGTTAAGAGGCAGCTACACAGTTAACGGCACTGCCAGAAGTTATATATATATATATCTATATACTATAGATTGAATTGGAATTGCTCGATCCGGATCTTAATCTTGAGAGCAAACACACACACAGGCCATAGCAAAAGCGACGAGTGTTTCAATGCATTTGTACACACACACACACTAACACACACACACATACACAATTGAACACGCACAAACGAAAAATTGATACTATATAGTATATACATATATATGTGCATATTTATATATATGCATGTTTTTAATCTATAACTGTAATAAGTATATTTGTATTCATATATACTTACATATAGAATACACATATGTTATTGGCCAAAATTAGTCTATTATCTCGTTTTCCATTGGTCTTGGTCAAAGTCTGTACACCTAATTGATATTAATACTAATTTGTATTACATATGCAATATGTATGTGAAGCTCCCTAAAAAACAAAGTATTTGTATACATCAACTCAAGATATTTGTGTTATATATATGTATGTATATATATACACGATGCATTTGATTCCTAATGTCAAACTAACTTTTGCTATTATACTAAATATACGTATATAGATCACTTAAACTGGGCAGCAAATGTTTAACTATTGTTACAACGTGTATTGACATTTATTTAACACAAACAGTATATATAATTTATGTTTGAATATATTTTATCGAAATAAAATTAAATTAAACTATATTATGTGTGTACCTATAATTAACTGAGCTCATCCAAATCCAAACTATCCTCGCTGCTACTATTTACGTCCAGTATTTCCTGCGGTTGGCATTCCGACTCCTCATCCGGTCGCTCCATGTGCGCGTATATGCGATAGGCCTTAAACTGACCCACCTTTTGGCCATTGACGTAGTTGAAGCTATAGTAACAGGTGCGACATAGATATGAGGGATCATGCAATTGCCTGCGAGAATGCTCCACAATGAAATGATAACCACGCAGTCCGCACATGTAGCAGGCACGTCTATTGAAGGTGTTGAAGGCGCGCAAAAAGGGATATAGACTGCGATCGAGATATTTGCTGTGAGGTCTCAATACTTCCACCTGGGAGAAGACAAACAAGTGCTCGCAGTTGCCATGATGCAGATATTGCATTGGTGCACCCAGGCTAACAGTAAGATCTATGAAACGTGTTGTCTCCATGGAAGCCACCGTAAACTCTTCATCCTGTACGCCCTGTGCGGTGCGTGCCCAATTAAGCACCGTTTGGGAGTAGTCACAATTGTTGGGATTGCGTGTATCATTATAGAATGTACCATTTATAAAGAAGTAGCCCGGGTTTGTCTCCAGCACAGGCAGAGGAGCTTCGGGCTCCTTGCTAATATCCACGAATCGCTTGCCATTACATATGCAGGAGATTTTGTCGCGTAGCTCGCTCAGATAATTGCTTCCCAGGCAGATGAACTCTTCGGCAAAAACGGGTCGCTCCAGCTTAAAGCCACGATGTGCCGCACGCGGTGGCCTATAAAAACGCACTGTTAACTCCAGCTCGAATTGTTCAAGCGTCCACAACATGGAAAAGTCGCCGTTGCCAGATGATTCGGCAATCAGACGGTGACTATATTGTGTGCGCGTAAAGGGATTCCGTCGAGATTTGGCCTTATGCTCGTTTATGGCTGTGTATGTCTTGGGCACATATTGATCCATTTGTGGCTTTGTCACGTTGGGACGTTGTATTTCGGCGCCTGGCTCGAAGGGGTTGACCACGTTGTCGTCCGGTGCGCTAAGCAACGCCAAGGAGCAACTGGCTGCCACATCCGGCGAAACGGGTGGTTTGGGCACAAAATAGAAGGGGTCATTTTTTAAGGGTTTCTCAGCTGGATTGGCTAGTTTCTGGGAATATTCATCAAGGAATTGACGGAGGTTTATAGATGGTTGTGGTGGCTCGAGCACGTTTTCCATGTTGCTGCAAGAAATATAACAATGATTATTGACAGGAAGATTTTCTTTACAGTAGAGATGGACGCGTGTTAGGCACGATTATGCTTTGGCACACGTTCCATCACTGATAAAAACGTACGTGAGGGGGGGAGGGGGGGGGTTTACTAGTCGTCAGCAAATAGTTCTATCGCTTCCTTGTAGGTTATATTCAGCTTTAGGGTTTGTGGCTTTGTTTCAGCTTGTTGGGGTTCCTCTTCTGGTTTGATATCCTGTGGCAGGCCCTCAATATAAACCCGGTCGAAACTGATGACTTTATCGGATTTATTCACGTATTTATATTGCTGTCGGCAAACTGGCTCATAAAGTGGATCTCCGAATACGCTGTTGGTGTCTTTTTCGAAGAACACATTGGTGCCCATTGCCATATCATACGAGCCTGCAAGAGTGCAATTGTTAATAGTCATATTAAGTTTGCTGTTATCCACATGCTGCACCTTTGAAAATGTTGCCATTGATCTCGGCCATGGGCGTGTCGCTCTCAATGGCAATTATACGTATGGCAGCATCCTCGTGCTTCAGTTGATGCGGTGCCAGATGGTTTTTAAAGTCAGCATACACCAAATATTCGGTCTCTTCGTATTCCGAGTCAGAATCGCTCATGGTAATAGAAGCTGAGTACGAATATGTCAATCTAATGCAGACTATCGGTAATCGATAACTTTCAAGCTAAACGATAATTTCACAGTATCGTCTCTAAAACCGAGGCGAATATATTTTCGCTGCGTTTTTTTGCGTTGACAAAATTTGTTTCTGTGAAAAAAGTGTCGGACTGTTGTAAATACAGAAATATTAGTAAATTTTGTTGCTGCTGTTAGTGCCAGAAAGTGTGCAGTAGAATATATCAAAAAACAGCTCAAGCGCAAATTAACCAAATTAATATTAAGACACACTTTCGTTAGTTGGTAGCGTGTGGATTATCATTAGACAGCGGCCATTTTGAGCGAACGCAGAAACGTCAGCAGCAGCGCCTTGCCTTGTATTTTGACGTAAGTGCTGGTAAAATAATAACTCGATGCGTGTAAATGTGTACTCTCATCAATGTATGGTGCATATAATTTGCAACGCATTTATTGATGATTAATGTGCAAAAAATAGCGCCAAATTAAGACACGTACATTTTTATCAGACCCTACGCTCTTTGAGCATGCCTTATTAATCGAATTTTTGGCGTGCTCTTCCATCAAACACGTTCTCTTTACAGTGAATCACGATAACGATAAGTACCGCAGTGCCGCAATAAGCTTTTACGCGACAAAAGTTAAGCTTAGTAAACATAAAAAAAAAACACCAAAGTTCAAAACAGTCAAACGACAAATCAATAAAAGCAATATAATGGCCGATGAAGATATTACTTTAAACGAGGATCAGCTCTTGGAGTCGCTGGAGGAGACAAACGGCGAACAGGAGACTGAAATTGTGACTGAAACAGAGGTAAGTGTGAGAAGCCAAACGAAACCAGTTTCCATTTCGCCTTGAATGCAAAAGCACACTGAAATTCGCGAAAAAGCTTTTTTTTATGCGCAAAGCTCGCGACACAAAGCGGCAGCCATTTTCGAAGCGTCGTCTCTCAATCACAATTCCAGTCGGCTAAAACAACGCATTCTGGGCATAGCTTTGCATAACTTAATAATAATAAATAAATAACCAAAATTTTCAAATTTCAATTGATTACTTAAGGAGGAGGGCAGCATGCAGATCGATCCCGAGCTGGAGGCCATTAAGGCACGCGTCAAAGAGATGGAGGAGGAGGCTGAAAAAATAAAGCAAATGCAATCAGAGGTAGACAAACAAATGGCAGGCGGTTCAACAACCGGTTTGGCCACGGTGCCGCTTTCACTTGAAGAGAAACAGGAGATTGACACAAGGTCCGTGTATGTGGGCAATGTGGACTATGGTGCATCTGCCGAGGAGCTGGAGGCACATTTTCATGGTTGCGGCACCATAAATCGTGTTACCATACTATGCAATAAGGCTGACGGACATCCCAAGGGTTTTGCCTACATTGAGTTTGGCTCCAAGGAGTACGTGGAAACGGCACTGGCCATGAACGAAACCCTCTTCCGAGGACGTCAAATAAAGGTGCATCCAATTAATGTCCCATAATCCATTGTCCATGTGAACTAACTCTTCATGTTTGCTCTCATGCAGGTCATGTCGAAGCGTACCAACCGACCGGGACTCTCCACAACAAATCGCTTCGCGCGTGGCAGCTTCCGCGGCCGAGGAGCACGCGTGTCCCGTGCCTGCTGTCACTCCACTTTCCGTGGCGCTCGACGCGCAATGTAAGGCAGCTAGCATAGATTTGCAATTCCTGTTGGTGCTTGGCTAATTCCGGTCTGTCTTTCGTTTCAGAAGAGGTTACCGCGGCCGCGCCAATTATTATGCGCCGTATTGATTATTGTGTTCTTAATTTTATAGTAAGGTAAGTTGACTGAACAAAACCATAAATAGTCTGCGGGCATATGCCTTGTGAGATACATTTGATATTTAACATAGCGTATGCCCATTGTGCAAAGCCCATTTGTATATAATCAATCAGTCCGCTTCCATTGCCAAAGTGCAGTAAAAAACCCAATTGTATCGATTTAAAACCGTCAGACTGTGATTTAGTTTTAACTCACGTATAATGCACACGGACGCTTTTGCTGTAAAAGCTTCATGTTTGGGGTATACGAGAGAGCCTGTGCACATAGAGAAAGTCCACTAATACTTGTACATTTTAACTCATACACTTGTATACGTGCTTGTCAACAACAATCCGTACTTTTGGCCATGTGCCTTTTCCGTCTGTCTATATATCTAAAACCAAGAACGGGGCACTTCAATAACAGCTATTTAATTTTATTTTTAACACATTTCTTTAATCCAATCAATATTTGATTTCAGATTTTTTTAATATATAATTTCAAAAAACATTTTATTGCCAAAACTTCTTTGCTAATAAATACAAAAATAAAAAAGAATGCAAGAGTACGCCAACAAAAAAATATATGCATAGAAATAATATTTAAAAAAAAATCAACTGCACCAACGAAAAAAATTTCTAAAAAAAGGCGCAAAAAAGATGAAACCAATAAAATGAAAATCAACAAGGAAAAGATTTAAAAAAAAAACGTACTTGGCTATAATGTTTTTTGAAGCACCCAACACCACAAACACCCCCTTATCACACTTTTTAATTTTTCAAAATAAAAATAAAAAAAAAATAATTATATATATTTATATATATAAACTGCAAAACTTAAAAAAAGATGACAAAACAGTTGGTAAAAAATATATGTATAAAAAAGAAGACAAACAAAAGCAGCATAAAAAATAAAACAAAGAAAAGAAGTTCTAAAGATGGCAAAAATAAAAGAGGATAAAAAGATATATAAAAAAATTTTGAAAAAAGAACAGACAAGGAAAAGATGAAAACACCACAAAATAAAAAAAATATATATATATATAATAAAAAAGAAAAGAAATCCCAAGATAATTTTAAAATCTTGTTCATGTATTCGAAAAAAAGTAACATATATACATAATAGTATACAAGAAAATTGATAATATCGAAAAGATGAAGAAATATAAACGAATTAAACAACTTTTCTATGCCTTTCCTTTGGGTGGGACAAGGTTGGGAGAGAGAGAGAGAGCGCGCGAGAGAGAAAGAGAGGGAGCTGGCGGCGAGGCAACAATTGAATTCCGAGTTCCCGGCATTATTTATGGTTTGCATAACTAAGCATTATATAATATATATATATATTTCAACTATATAGCATGTGTTTCCCAAACAGAAAATTCAAAATAAACTAAACTTGGCATTAACGCACGCTATTATACGGGTTTTATTTCAATTAAACAAAGTGCAGGAATCCAAAAAATTAATGCAACATTTCAAATGCTGATCCTCGATTGCTCGACGGGATGCCAGATGGACAACGCTTAGTTCTTCTTCTGGATGGCAGCCTGTACCAGTGGCAGGTTCTTGCTCAGGAAACACTTGAAGCCGCGATAGGCCCAGGCGTTGGGTGTCGACTTCTGTTCATTCTTGTCGGCGCACTTCTCGATGTCAGCCTTCAGGAGGGTCTTGTCCTCACGTCCCTGGCCCAGCTGGGCGACCAGGTTATCAACCTTGAAGCCCTTGGTATCCTCGAACAGATCGAATTTGTTGAAAATGCATTTGATATAGCTGCGTGTGATCTCATCATCGGGATACTCGAAAGTCTTGTATTTGGCAACCAGCGCCTCGGTCACCTTGTTGGACTCGGCGCACTCCTTGCGCACCTTCTGCAGATCCTCGGCGGTGCGGACCTTGTACTCGCCAGCGGAGGCCTGCACAACGTGTTTAGGATTAGAGTGTAACCAAATGCTGGCTCCAGGCTATCAAGCCACACTTACCAGGCCAATCAAGGCGCACAGGAGAATGGCAACGGCGTTCTTCATAATTGCAGGATTAGTTTTTTTTTTTTTTAGTTTATATTGAAATCAGGCAACTTGCTTTGCTGTGTATGGCACCGGAGTGAAAACTAATGACTGACTACCGTGGTGCTCTGGCTTTTATACCTTTCATTTGGGGGCATGCTTCGGCCGGAGCCGACGCGAGTCGCGGCCAGACGGGGGCGGACGGGGGCCGCACATCGGCTTCAATTGAGTCGCCGTTTTGTTCGCTACGTGCAATTTAAATTTGATATGGAAAATTTAACTCGCCTTTAAAGTCGTACTTTTATTTTTTTTTTAAGTACTTAACTAAGGCACAGATTAATTTAAGTTATTTGTTTTTTTGATTCTGGCACATATGTAAATATATTTTACAGCATTCTCTGTAAAGCACTTGGAATCGTAATTTTTTTGTTATTGCGCTTGGAATAAATTGTCCATTAGCTTGACCTTTGCCATGCCATTATTATAATCAGCCAAATCGGCGGCTATCTCATCGAGGAGCATCAGAATCCCAGTCTGAAGAGCTGGATAAACCAAAATCTTGCACTTTCGATAGGTAAAAACATGTTTATATAATAATTGGAAATCTTCAAGTAAACAATTTCATTTTTAGCCAGTTCTGAACCAAGGTCTGATCCAGGAAAGCCAGAAAAAATACGAGAACTAACTGAGGTGCTCATGGATCTACAATAGGCACCTAATAGGTCCTCGTGGCAAATAACAGAATGCCTTTAGACTTCACTGTTCCGGCACAATTAGATACTACAACATCTCCAGCCTTGGTTTCTCTGGCTACTATAACATTCCGTCTTAATCCCTGGCACGTTCGTCTTGTCTGGTCAGCTTGTCCCTTCAGAGAGTACTCCTGCTGTCACGATCCGAATCTTAGCTATGCGTCTTTGAAGTGATCCCAGCAAGCGAATATTTTTATGTACATTAAGACTATGACTTATTAATTATTATAAATAATTTCAACTAGAACAATCATAGTTATTCATAACCAATTAAAATGCTATACAACATGTGTTTGGATTTTGAAAAACAAAATTCCACTTTCGCTTAGCACTAAGCTGATAATAGACTGCGAGCTAAACACATTTACAAGCCAGATATCAGGTTAGCTATATGCTCGCTCAATAGGGAAAGCAGGAAAGACTTCTATTGTATATAGAGACACTTAAATCAAAAATAAGCTCAGCAGGATTTCAAGTGGATCCCTCACTGCTGTTACTCGGAGCAGGACAAGGGCAGAGGAAGTTTCAACGTGTCTCTTCATTTGTAGCTGCGTCTCTGATAATGCACGCCTATTAGTGGGCACTTAAGCCGTAGCACTCCCTAGTCTGTGCCGCTTTGTATGCTGATGAAGATGATCATGAACATGATGATGATGATGATCATGCTGCTGCTGCTGCTGGTGCAGCTGTTGGTTGGCTGGGCTGCTGTGATTTAAATGAGCATTAATTGAATTGGCAAAAATTACGTTGACAAATACATGCCCTCATGCCTCTGCTGAGCGTACATTTGATTTGATTGTGCGGCTCGGCTGTTTGTCCATAATCGCAGATTTCTACTCGAATGTTCTCATATTTATTTATGCATGCTAGACGACAAAGGCGACAAGCAAGCCACAACAATTGTATCTATGAACAAACACATTTGAAAATTTTCCACTGCAACTTGAGTTCATGTTTTATTCGACAAATTGTCGCCTGATCTCTGTTGTTGTTGTTGTTGTTGTGACTAAAGCCAGATTAGAAGTCCATCCAGATGAGATTCAGTCCGCAAACCGATTTAAGCCGAAGTGGTTTGAACCAGCAACCAGCTTGACTGAGCCAAACCTTCCACCGAAGCCGGAAAATATATAAAACTCAACGTAGAGTTGAAAGTTTATAGGCTTAACAATATATCGAATATAAATATAAAATTAAATTACAAATTTAAAAATTAAAACGAAACATTCTTGAACTCTTCATAAACATTCAAAATAAAAAGCAAAATGATTTTCCATTTACATATATGGATTTATAAAGTTTGTCTTCAAGCATTTGATTTTTTATTGAAACATTATATATTCGTTCTTTCTTTTTTTTAATATTTTTTTTTTTTGGGGCTAAGCAGCGTTTATTATTATATATTTAAGCATTTGTTTAAGCCCAGCATAAACTAAATCATAAGCACAAAATATATTTATCATTAACTGATGATCACAAAATTATAATAATCATAAAAATAGAAGGTAGTTAAGTTTAAATTATAAATCACAAGATTTCAATATAGTAGAGCTCAGGAATTTCAGTTTACAATTGATATTCATTTTATTATTATCATTCAATGCAGCTAAAAGAAACGAGAGGGAGGCATATAAGAAATGAATAAATAAAACCTGCGCAAATAAATTCACGAAATACAAATCAATTAACTAAATAATTCGTATGCAATGATACAAATTCAAGGCTAAATCACTTTTTCTGGTTGTTGACAGAACTTAATATATATAATTTAATTATAGTATACATAGGCTTGATGTATTTATGAATTTCAATTGTGATCAACTTGTGTTTTTTCTTTCTCTTTCTTTGGAAATTTGAACAAGATTGAATGCGAAATGAACATAATGTTTACGAAATATAACACGACAGAAAGCTTCACTCTAATAGTCAATAGTAATATTGTATAAATATATATATATATATATATATATATGTGTATATAATATTAGTGTAGTTGCGTTTGGTTATGGATTATTCATTTCTCTGGAATGGGTCTCAGTGTGGCTGTGTCTAATTTGTTGGGCGGCACCAGTGCCGTCTCCAGTTCCGGCAAATCCGGTATGGGATCACGCCAGTAGTTGAAATTGGAGAATTCGATGGCGACTTCGTCATGCTTGACGGGTGGAAACAATTGATCCACAATATAAGTCATGCTGCAATACCTGTAAAAAACATAAACAATGCATTAGTCATATTTCTACACAGACAACAAGATTTATGCAATATAAATAATTGCCATTGGCCCGGCGCCTAAGTGTATGCAACAGAAATTTGAGTGCAAACTAACCTCAAAGTTTTGCCACAATGCAACCTAACCTCAAAGTTGTGACACAATGCAACCTAACCTCAAACTTATGCCACGCAAAATTAAAATCGCATTATAACAACGAAAGTATGCACACATTTTATTTGTGTATAAATTATTATAGAAAAAACAAATTAAACTCTATTTATAGCTATAATGGTTGAATAAATCTTAGAACTAGGCATATATCGTGGGAGTTTGGGCTCTCAAAAGTCGGCTTAATTAATGCTAGTATAATAGGAGGGAGCGTGCTCCCATATCACAAAACTATAGACTAATATGAAACTTAGCGCTACACATATATCATATCACAAATTGAGGATATTCCCCACTTCATTCAAATACAACTATGGGTTTTGCTTGGGCAGCCATTTCCAGCCTAATTGTATTTCATTTTTGGCTTCATGTGTGCTCATTATGAGGTTCATATCCTGATCATCATTGGCCTTGGCCAAGTCGTCATCAAAGAGAGCCTCGTCAATATTATCATTGTCATCGTCATCGTCAACAGCAACGTCGCTGGCCTCGTCCATATCATAATCATCGCTGAATTGTAGCTCATCTGGCAATTCCTCATCGTCGAATACATCGGTGCGATATGCGTATTCATCAGTGTGCATCAGCAGCGGAAAGTATTCATTGACCTCAAGCGACTGATTGATGTAGCCACTATAAATTTGACAACCAAAATGCTTGAGTTGAATTTTTGGCACTCTCAATTTTGCGATTTTGATTGCGATTGATTGATTGATTGATTGATTGCATGAGTTTTGGTAGTACAATAATGAAGACAACTCCTACACACAACATTTAAGTGGAGTAGTACTTACAACCTATAGGCGCACCTAGCGTTACAATATGATGTTAATACGACTTGAACCAATTAGGATTGCTTGCGATTTTAAATGTGGCATGATTTTCAGTTAAAGCTCTAGCCTAATAATGAAAGCTTTAAGTGAGCTTTGTTGTAATGTGTAAGTTGTGCTCGCTTTAAGGGAGCTTTCAGTCAATTTGAACGAGCTTTAAATGTGCTTCAATTTTACTCAGATCTAGCTTTGAGTACGCTTAAAGCTCATCATATTTTTAAGCTTCACTTTAAGATTTCAACGGTTACAAAGCAGTTGGGAAGACACCACCACAACCATATAGACATTAATGATGCGATATTTGGCACTCTACTTACGAAGATTGGAATGTTTGGGTCAACTCGTGCTTTAGCTCGCCCTTCGTGTTGATGGTGAAGATGCGCATAATGGGTATGCCGACGGCGCGATAGGCCCACACATCCTGAAAAGACGACAAGCCTGCTGGTAAGTATTCAATTAATTAAATGAACAAATTAATGCTCACATTAATGCGATTGCCGTAGCCGGCGTAGAAGGGCTCCTTGTCCGGGAAGAGATCTCGTATATCCGACAGACAAGCGATCTTAAACTGTTCCGGTTTCTTTTCAATCACCTCTCGATGAAAGGCGGATATCAACGAAGTAGGATTCAAAAGCAACGGGCCGTCGGGCAGCATGACATTGCCCTGCCTGATGGAGCGTAAATATTCGCGTGTTACGCGCGACTGGCCTATGGCACGTGCCGATAAATAGAGCAGCTTATAACCATTCTGTTCAATTTTTGAGAATAGCTGAGCCACGCCCAATTGCGCCCAATCCTTGCCGACCATCGGCAGAATGTGGCCCAATACATCCGACTTGGTAATGGTGCCATCAATATCCGAAATGACCACCTTATCGTTGTGCTTCCAGCGGAACAGATAGCACTTGCAGCGCGTGGTGCCCTGATAAGCGGTCGTCACACTGAACTCTATTTCGTTCATGCCCTCTTTGAGGTTTAGTTTTTTCTGTAAATGAAGCGAGCAGAGCAGAGCAGGCTGTTAGAGCAGGGAGAGAGAGCAGGGAATGGGATTTGCGGGCACTTACAATGGCCGCCGAGCTGAGGCGAAGCGTTTTCTTGTAACGCTCCTTGGGCTCATCGCTCTTATTGGAGCCCATGGTCAGCTCCTCGAGATTGTCTACCAGAGCGGAGGTGTTCTCAGCATTGCCCAGCGAGTCGCTCTTGCTGAGAGTGGGATCGCTTATATCCGGCGAATTGGGACGCGATGTTTGCGTGCTAACCGCAGCCTGATCGCCATCTGAAATTGCAGGAGAAGATTAGCTGGGTAAAAATTGTGGCTGGTCCAATAGAATTTTACCTTTCTCATCCTTGCCCAGCGCAGCGGAATTCTGATGTTTCTTGTCCGCATTGTTCACCTGACTAGGCACTGCATCCTGAGATCGTCGCCAAATCCACCAGGAACGCTTGGTTTGACCAACATTGTCCGTTGGGTGCACGGCCTCCGGCTTGTCATCGCCCCCAACTTGTGCCGCTGGCGAAATCAGCTGCTCTATGGCATCCTGAAAGGAAAGAACATAATTAGTTGGGCTCACTAACGGTACAGTGCGGCGAGAGGTGGGCTTTAGTCCAAGACTTACTTCGGTTAGTTGCTTCTGGAATGTTATCATTGTCATGACAATGGGACATGCAGCCATCCAAGTGTAGTATTTGCCATTTAGACGTACAACTAGGTTCGGTGATGCAAACATATTTGGATTCTTGCACACCTGCACACACGGCAAATTGGCAGGTAACAGGGCAATAGCAGGGAGACAAGCAGATGAATAAAATGTGTTTGTTAATAAGGGTGCAGAGTGCGGTGCGCTGTGTATCGCAGTGTTGCGGGGGTGCAGTGGAAACAAATGCACACAAACTAGCTACAGAACCATCGATAGTAAAGATTAAATAAACGGTACAATATTTAATCCCTACACACAATCAAAAGTACATCATCCTACGTATCATCTAATTCACAAATATTAATTAACAATCATGAAGCTATGAATATGAATCATCAATAATTTAACAAATTCATCTACACCTTATCTGAATCTGAATAGGAACTATCGATGGTTTGCAGCACAACAGCTTTTGAAAGGGATTTTCACTTACATCCGGATAGGTGACCAGCTGTCGATCGAAATCCTCATCTCTGGGCGGAGCACCGTTCTCCTGCATGCCGCACATGGACATGGCCACAAAGTCCAAATATCTAGTTAAATATAAATCGAGTGGATAAGACATAAACTGATGATATTTGCGAGGGATTCGGCTAGCGGCTACGCACTTCTTGCCCTGTGGTGCCAGCTGTTTGCTCTCATCAAAGTCCGAGTCCATGCTCTTTTGGTTCTCCTCCAGCGAACTGGGCGAATGAGGCAGGCTTGTGCCGTTGCCGCTCTCGCGATCCTCGTCGCCGCTGTTCGTTTGCTTGGCCTCCTTGTTCTTGGGACTGGGAAAGTAGAGAGCCGCCATCTCGGGATCCATTCGACCCAGATCCAAATCGGATAAATAGATATCGCCAGCCTCGTTAGCGCCCTCTTTGCGCAAACGATTGGCCCGCTTCATGAAGCTAAACATGTTGCTCAACATCCAGTGGCGTTGGCTTTGCTGTGCATCCGCGGCGCTGACCGCACCCTTGGCCTGCTCCGGCGTGGGCAGTTCACCCCAATTCCAGAGAGCGCTGTTCTCATCATCGACGCCATGGCGCTTGTCGCGCATGGTCGTTTCCAGTTCGCTGTCGCTCTGGATGGGCGTCGAGGGACGACCGGCGCCGCGTCCAGCGCCGCCAGCTCCAATGCCCGTGGGCGTTGTGATCTCTGTGTCGCTAAAGAAGTGTATGTCCAGGTCGTGCCGTGCCACGTTTGTGGGCGTGACAGTATGCGCCAGTTCGCTGAGTGGACTATCATTGCCTGTGTGTGCCGTTAGGAGTGCGGGCGAGGCCTGCTCATCATTGGACGAGGAGTTGGTATGGGTAATGGAAACACTGGCCGCCACATCAGTCTCATCAATATTGCTGACCTGCAACGAGCTGAGCGAGATGGCATCTGCATTGGCCGCATCGCCGCCAGCGGCGCTGCCGGCAGAGCTGCTTGAGGAAGTCTTGCGCTGTGAGTTCTTCTTCTTCATTTGCGACTTCTTGCGGCGCTTCTTGGTCTTGCTCTTGACATCATCCTTATTGGCCTCACTGATGACAGTTGGGGCTGCCGCGGCTGCTGTGACCGCTGGTGCTATCAGCAGCAACTCCGACTTAGCTGACGGCGGCGTTTGGACAACCTCTGGCTCGGGTGCTGGTTGAGGTTCCGGCTCTGACTTTGGCTCTGGCAATTTCTCTACCTTCTCTGGCTGTTTCTTCTCTTGAAATAGCTCCTCATGCTCGGCCCATTCCTGGCGCATTTTTTGTGTTGTAAACTCCTTGATTTTCTCCCTCAAATCACGACGCTCCAAGATGTTATCCGTGTGCCTGCAGTGAAGCAGAGCATATTAGTAGGTTGCAAGGATTGCATATTAAAACAAAAAAGAGGTTTTTGGCCAAGCGTTGCTACCTGCGATGCGTGTAGTCCGATGCCTGATTCTCGAACTTGCCACCCTCTAAAGCGATTTCTTTGGGCTCCTCCTTGGAGAGATCAATTGAGTTGCGACGCGGCAAAGGCAACGGTATTTGAAGTTCTTCGCTAGCGCTTCTAAAACATGTAAATGATGATATTTTATGTAGCTAGCTGCAGTGGAACGTTATCTACGGATGCTATAGATAGATGGATAACCTACTTGTCGGCTGTCACGCCGCGTATTTCCTCCAAGCTGTCGTTGTCTTTGTTCAGCGACTGCAAAAAACTCTTTGGTATGGGTGAAGTGGCCAAATTGGCGGGCAACTCCTCATCATCATCATCCGGGCACTCCTCCACAAAGAATGCCTCCCCAGAGTCACCCAGTTTCATTTGTATGTCCACGGGGGCGCCATTGATTTCAATGTCAACCTGCCCAAAGAATGAAATGTAAATAGAGCTGGAATGGGACCCCCAACCAACCCCCCCTCCCTGCTACTTACCACCTTCTCACGACTGCGCAGCACGCCCAGCTTGCCGAAACGCACATGGAAGGGCGAACATTGGAACTCGCCGTCCTTTTGCTCCACAACGATCACATCGATGGCTCCGGTCAGTGTGGCCGCATTGATGTCATTGTAGAAGTCTTGCAAATTGCTAAAAACGCGCGCTAAACTGTGCATTTTGATTGCAAAAGTTAATCGATAGTGCCTATCGATATCGATTTTAGTTATTTCTAGATCGCACAGTGCGTGTGCGTGTTTCCTCGGCTTTAGATTGTATGTGTGCGCGCAATTAATAAAAACTCATTTTATTGCACTTGTTATTGTTGTTGCTGAGTCGTTCGCTCTGCTGATAAATCAACCTTTGGACAACTGTAAATGGCAGAAAACACAGAGTAAGTCATAAATTGATTTGCTCAAATATTATATACATAGCTCGTTTATCTGTTTTGTCTATGCTCTTGTGCTTAAAAATACAAACTTGCGGCATATAGCAAAACGTTTTGTGACACTTGTGCTGACATTTAAATGCAGCCGACAAGTGCAATAAATGCAAAAGATGAAAACAAATTTTGGCGCAACATGAATCAACACAGCTATTCTTGTTGCTAACTGTATATATTTTGCTAGCTTCTTCTTCCACGCAGAAAGTCAAGGTGGATTGCATTGTGAATGCAAGCAAAACAAATGCAGACAACGAATTAATGTGTAGAATTAAATGGGTGGTGAATATGTTGAATTCACGTTGGGGTTACCTATGGGTATATAGTTTTTAGGCGGAGCATACATAGTAAAAATATCTATGTTCATAGGTTTTTTGAGTATTGTGTAGTTTGTTTGTTTTACAGTTATCCTTGCTTTTATTTGCTTCGAAAATAAACAGTGTAGGTAAACGTCATGCGACATTCAAAGCGCATTCACTTGGGATATTCGCGTGAATTCACAACAAGTTCATGGCAAGGCGGGGGCTGCATAATCTACGCAAGCTGTAACTGTAACTGCTGCTGTCTTTGCCAACAGAGCTTTCAGTGTGCTGCACACATGTGCGTGTGTGTGTGCGTGTAGGCGAGTGTTATCGAAAAAATAAGATAGTGTGATAGTTAGTGGCGTGTTCCCACCGTTTATATGTAGGTAGTAAAAAAATAATATCGTCAATACACACACACAAATGTTTAAAGATATGTATGTATGCTCATTACTCATTTCTCATGCCACTGGAAAACATCACGCGATTTCACAGGCGGCATTTAAAGCATGCATACATATGTACATAAGTATGTATGTGTGTATATAGATTTGTAAATTAATATATTGTGTTTATCAGGCCTGTTACGAGTTCATTAAGTCTTGCGCGCATTCAATATGTACGCGTAGACAAATCGCGTGATTAAGTTTTAACTGTTCTGCAAATCGTGGAATTTAATAAATTATTAGAATGTCTTAAATTTACCAGCCTAAAGGTCAATGTACAATGTTTTTGTGTCAATTTTATCATGGCCAAAAGTATCAAATGTTTATTGTTTGTGCTTATCGCAAAGGAAATGGTCAAAAATATTTTGTGCCCATATTAGTCTAGTACCTAGCAGTGTACTTCTTGTTCTTGATAAGACAAGCCACATTTCTCAATTGATAAATTTGTATGTGCGTGTGTGTGTGTGTGTCATTTTTCTTTGGATCTATGTTTGCTTTAGTTAAGTCTAACCATTAATGAAAGGCAAAGTCCGTTTGAAATGCTAGGGCAGACATCATGCCACCTAACACGCGTCGTTGGCGATGTTACTTTCACCTGCAAACAATATGCAACGCAACGTGCGAAAAGCCACAAGCAAAACAAAACGCACAAAACTTGGCAAAAAGCTCAGTGCTTCGGATGCAGCACTAGGAGTGAGCGGGATGGGTAACAATTAAACGCACACATGTGGAAGCTGCACAGCAACAACAACAACAACAATAAGAACACAGACACTGAAACCGAACGAAGCAAATACAATTTTGCACAAACTGGGCGAAACGAATCTTTCTGTAAAGACCGCAACGGCACAACCAATTGACGTGTATTTCTAAATGTTTGTGTTTATTTATTAGTCGCAACGCTGCTTAGTGAATTGTGTTGAGTCACGATCAAAGTCCAAACACACACTCACTTATTAAAAACAAAAATCAAGAAACAGGCAAACACAAACACCCAGGAACAAAGTCGAACGAAATTGTGTGCCAAGAAAAATCACATTGAATTGCACACGTTTCTAGTATAATGGAAATTTTATGTGTCCGCTCTACCTTCGTTGAGTTTTTCTTCTTTCAAAATCTATTTATTCGCTGCTCTGGTGGTTTTCCTTGGTTTTTTTTTTATTTTATATTTTTCCTTTTTGGATTTTTCACGAAAAACTAGCAAGACAAATTGCGCCTCACTCTATTTCTGCTGCGGCAGCACTTGCAATTGTTTAAAGTAAACTTTTTTTAAAGTTGGCACAGTTTCTGTGTAACTCAGTATGAAATGTTTGACAAGTCTATTTGTTAGCGTTGTTTTTTCTTTGTATTCAACTTTTTAGCTGCTCCGCCTCGCTTGTTGCCTCGTCGACAGAGCTTGCACAACTGAGCGCTCGTGCGACAGCATCGACGCTTTTTAGTTACCCAAGTGAGCAGCGGTGCGCCATAGCTAATTCAATTAAGCAGCCGCCTTTGTATGTGTGAGTGTGGGAGAGCGGCGAGCACGTTGCGCGCGAGACTTAAGAGCAAAAAGCTTTGCCATGTGTTTGTTTGTATTTAAAGTAAACCTGTTAAACCAGAAAGTATGTCTTGTAAAACATGTTTGTTGTTGGTGTTGTTCGAAATTTGTTGCTGTGGCCGTGGCTGAGCAGCTGTTAGAGCGCATTCTGTGCCTCTTTCTCTCTCTCACTCTCTCTCGCTCTGTCTCTTCAATTGTACTTTTAAGCATTCAAATATAGAGCCTCGAACAGCAACAACAAGAACAACAACAACTTTAATAACTGTGCTTATCAGCTGTACGCAGCGTCGTCTTAAGCAGCTGTTGTTCTATGTTAATATGCAATTGCATTCTGCCTTACATATATATACATGTAAGTGTGTGTGTATATGTTTGTTGTTGTGCTAATGACGCGTCATTCGATGTTGCACTCAAAACGTCGGCTACTCAGAAAGCTTGTGAGCTATGCGACAGGAAATGTCTTTATGTATGTGCTTGACATATGTACATATGTATTTATTCTATACGAATGGCAAACATCAAGAAAATTCGGCAGAGTCTCAACGCACGTGCTCACGGCCATCTCTATGCCAAAGACAAAAAAACAAAAAACAAAAAAAGAAAATAAAAATTTGTCTAACTTTTGCGCGGTGGAATCTTTTGCAAAATGTGTGGACAAATTGTAGTCGGGTGCCAAAATAATAAATGCTACACTGTGAGAAAATGCCTTTGCAAACTTAAAAATTAAAGAGCACTTACCGAAAATTATAAATTGCAATGCAACAAAACTTGAAAATTGAAAATAACAAGCGCAATTCTTCAAATTCAATTTCAAATAATTTAAGTTTATTTATAAATGTTTATATAGTAAATAATAACTAAATCAAAATGCATAATTATGTACATTGAACAAATTGTACCAAAATAATATAATAATAATATAAAGTATATAGTTTCTTTTTTAATATTTTGTTTGTTTGTCTACTTGGCTACGTTTTGTTGTCAATTTGTATGCGCATAAATAATAGATAATTATAACAAATACAAAATAATTGGCAAATGCAGGCATACAGATAAATACATGTGTATGTAATATATATAAATATAAATAACTAAGTTTTATCAGTTACTAGAAAATAATAATAAAATAGCTGATGAAATATGATTTGCTTTTTTTTTTTATAATTTTTTTAATTTTTTTTGCATTAGTTAAGCGTTTTTATTACTTTTTTAAGAACTCTAACGAAAATGCAATCATTGTTGTTGTTGTTGTTGTTGTTGTCGATGATCGCCTAAGATCCTTGTTTTGATTTGCTTTTGCGACGCGCATCCGTTATAGCACCCCAGAGTTCGATAATGAAGTCGTCGGTGAAACCGAACGATTCCAGATCCGAGCTATCTATGGCCTCAGCAAAGTCCATGGAGTTGGACTTCTTGTCACCCAGTTCCCAGATCTGTGACGCCAGTTCCGTATCATTGATGCCCATAAACGATTCCAGGAGATTGTTAATCGCCTCGACGCCCGCGGTGGTTGCCTCATCGAATTTTGGCTCGATCTGTGCATTGCCATTGGCCTTAAAGCGCAGCGTCTCCTTGCCGCTGCCGTAATTGCGTCCGGCATTGCCGGCGCCGCCGGATGCCGAGGCGGATGCACGGGATTGGCTGCGCGGTCCGATGCCCTGGAAGCCGCTGCGCACCGGCTCGACCAGGCGCAGCGTGAACGTCTCACCCGTCGCAATGTCCTTCAGCATGCGTGCCACCTCGTAATGCCGCTTGCCCACCATGTTGAGACCATTCAGCTTCTCGATGTGATCCCCCACGGAAATATGCTCGATGCGATCGATAATGGAGTCCTCCTTGATGCGTTTAATGAATGCATAACCTGCACCATTATCGGTTATGGTCAGACCCAGAGCATCCTGCGTCTTGACAATCTCAATCTCCTTGGCGCGACCCTTGCGATGGGCAAATATAAAATCATCTAGCCCAATCTGGCCGCCCAGCAGACGCGTCATGTCCACCTTGTGCGAGTTTAGGGTACAGAATAAAATGTCATCCTCGGATATATCAAAGCATTCAGCAATTTTCTTATACAGCTCACGTACGCTAGCAAAGCCCGTGATCAGACCCGTCGGACTGCCATGCGCCAATTGGCAGTGGAAGATCAGCGGGGGCTTCTTGTCCAGATCATTGTTATTGTTCTGATGATTGCTATTGTTGTTTTGCAACATAGACGAGTTCAAGGACGTGCGTCCTTTGCTATCCTGACTGATGTCGCTGTGATCGGATGAGTTCTTCGAGGATTTACGGGCAAAGAGCGGCATATTTGCAATTGGAGGGCTATTCTTCTATTTTCCTCTATATATATAAATATATATGAACTTTTTATCGAAGGTCCTTTGTTCGCCTTATTCTCATATATATATATATATAGTATATTTTTATCTGTGTGCGTAGAAGAAATTTGTGGAGCTCTTTTTTGAATAGTTCGTTATAAAGTTAAGCTATTTATTAGTTCCGTTTCCAAAATGTGTATCAAATGTGAGTATGCATGTGTGTGTGTGTGTGTGTGTGTGTGTGTATGTACAAGTATAACACCGAAAAACCATAAAACATTTATACATATTTATCTAATCTCTGCACAATTTATTGCCACACGAATCGGACACAGAAAGAAAACATGAGTCAATGTTCGTTATTTTTCCAGTTCGAACCGAAGTTCTACTGGCGAATTACACAAGTTAGTTAAATGGATCAAATACAGCAAAGGAGTATATTGATTATGTACTAATTGATATACTTATATTGTGCAAACTAATTATCGATGTGCTAATTATAAGTGAATAAACAAAGACGCGCCGTGTGTGAACGCTGAGAAGTGAGGTTAGGGACGTTCAAGTTATTTCTCTCAGGCTTCTTGTTAAATTTGACCGACTCTTACCCAGGTTTGCGACTTATTTAATTTGGACTTTAGTTGCCGCAGCACAGTTGAAAATGCGAAAAACTAGGAAAGTCGCATGCCGCGACGCAAAAATACACAATGAAATTGAAGAAATATATAGGTTTTTTTTTTTTTGTAAAACTGGCAAAAGTTGTTGCCGCTTGATAAGATTTCAATGTGTGACAATCGCGTGATAAAAGCGCACAGCGAGAGAGCGAAAGAGAGAGCGGGAGAGAGAGAGTGGGAGATAGATAACGTCTGATTAGCCATAAGGGTAAAGATTGCGAACCGAACCGCGTTTTCTTCGTTTACTGAGTTTTACTAGACAGCATTTGTCAGATGTGACCAGATCACAGAAATGTCAGGCAAACCACATTTAACGGATTTTCACTCACTACAAGGGCAAATTTTGGGTTGTTTTGGGTTTTTCTGATATCTGGCGTACGTACGATTCCTCGATTCGCTGCTCTCCGAAATGTCTTACACTTGGAAACTGAATGGTTATAACACGCAGAAAATTTTGAAAAACTAAAGCAAAACAAATTTAAACATCGAAATCAAACATCAAATCCAAACAATACATGAAAGATTTAACAAAGTCCGACTCAGTATAACAGACGTCAAGTTAATTGGAGCGAACTTAAGCCAAAGTTGACCAGAGAAACCATCCGAGCCTTTCGGGATGTGCGTAACGTGGCAACTCTGCCAGCTGAATGAAAAGTGTGCGTGGTTAGTTTGAGGGGTTGTGTTCTTTGGCGTTGCCACCTTGCTTAAAATTTGCGTTTTAATTGGAATTGTATTACATTTATTGTATATGATATGATATGATGAGCATTATATGATATGATAATGTATATATTTTGATAATAGTTTTATGGAGCTTGAGTCTCTCTCTCTCTGGCTGACTGTCTGCTTCTCTCTATCTGTCTCCCTCCCGCTCTTTATCTTTCTCTCTCTCGCTGCCTAATATATGAAGCTCTTCCCTTTGTGGTAGGTAGAGTTCTCTAGTTTCGACTATTCTTGTTTTCCTTGCTTTTTGCTTTTGCAAATTCATGTTCGCTTTCAACTTTGCTTTACCTTGATCGTTCGACTTTATTTATTTTATTAAGTTTTGCTGGAATAATTAAAAAGAATTTGCATTTTTTACGGTATCTGAAACATCCGCTTAATAAAAAAAGAAGCTTGAAATCTTTTCGCTATGTTTGACAAACTCCTGAACTTCAACAAATTGCAAGCTGGCAAAAGTTCACTTCGCCAAGCGCTATTTTATGGCATTTAAATTGAAAAACACGAGAGCAAACCTGAGAGGCAACTCGAGACGAGCCCCTCTAATCAGGCATGCGCGAGAAATGTACGTATACCCATATATATATATATATCTGTGGGTAGCACAACAAGCTCTACATCCGATTAGTGTGATACACACACACACATATATATATATATATATATATATATATATATATATATATATATATATAAATCGAGTGTAGAGCCATTCTATAGCTGTGTTTTTCACCGCACAACCGGCTATTTCTAGCCGAGCATAATAGATAACCCGGCGAATGAAAAATACAACACACATCAAGGTCGAATTAGTTAAGCATTGAGCGCGTGCAGCGATATCCGTACCTTTTACACTAACAACAACAAATACAAAGAAAACACAAAAACAAAAAACAAAAAAACAACAACTATTACGAACATACTACGCATTGGGATTTCATTTGTGCTTTATGTGCGAACAAACAAACAATTCGGTTGAAGGAACTCTAAATTTCATTTAACTATTTCAAAAGTTGCGCGTTCGCTATCCTAATAATAAAATACCCTATAAATTAATGCACATTAGCAGTATACGTGATGCACAATTATTTATTATCTATTATCAATTATAATTAACAGAATTTAATACAGATTTAAGATATTCGAAGGAAGTTAGTTAAAAAAAATAGTATATATAAATTTCCCAATATTATTTCTTTCCAGAAATTGTTATTTTCAAAATATTTGAATTGTCCCGAAATTATAATTGAGAGCTTTCGTGCACAAATTTATTGAATCTATAAATCTTATTTTTGGCATGGTTTCAATTCTTTCGCAATTTTTGTAAGGTCTAGTAATTACTAGAAATCGAATGTGTCGCACACCAGAGCATCCTGCCTTAGAGCTTAGGTAATAGAGTTTTAGATACCCGATTTTAACTAACTAATGAAAGGCAAAGTTTTCGAAATGTGTGTGAAGCTCGACTATAATAAAATTTCCCACAGAATGTGAATTGGATTGCAAAATATTATACGATTGTTTCTCCCAAACTGAATTGAATTGAATTTTTTAAAAACCGTTCTAAGTTGCAATTTGCAGATTGATTATAGATATATATTCTGACTAAATCGGCGCTTACACTTATTACTCTGGTCTTTATGGAGTTCGATCTGCTGTATTCAATCTCTATATTGGAAGAATCGCTCGGAAAATAAGTTATAATATGGAATATTTATTTGTTTTTCAAGTTTCACAATTCTTCCCGCATTTATGCCAAATGTAAAGGGTATTAAGACTTCGACTGGCTCTTCTATCTATCTGTTTCCTTGCATAATAGGCATCAGATGGTTTCTCAACTGTCGCTCTAACGACGTTTCTAAATAACAATATGCATTTCTCAGATTGTAGACACGTGCAGCCAAGTTTATCTGGGCTAATATCAACTGTAATTGCCAATGCATTCGCGGCGTAAACAACAAAATAACAACAGGCCAACAACATTTCCGCATACGCAACGCAGCCGGTTCTATAAGATACATATGTATCTATATATTTGTGTGTGTGTATATTAATTGTTATTGTTGTTTGTTTACTCGCCGCCTATTGGCTGTAATTTGTGGGCCCGACTCGCAGAAATGTGGGCAAAGAAGCTGTCTGCTAAGCACAAACACACATGCATATAATTAAATATACATGCACACATACATTTACAAGGTGCTTAGAATGTATCTGTATCTTTTTATGTATTTGTATCTGTATCTGTATCTGTAGCTGGCGTCAACAACACACAACGTAAACAACTCAAATTGCGCGTGGGCTTTCCTCAAGTACAGTGAAACCAACAACAACAACAACGACAACAAATCGAATTTCAGTTAACAATATGTTTTAGGTTTGTAATAAATTTACATCTGCATTAGCTTTACGATGACTAATTCGGGCTGCACAATACCCAACACAGATCAGCTGAAGCAATACTCTATATTTAAACAATAGATAAAGCAGTTAATATATTAGTTAGTTTTTAACAAGCTCTATTTACTTACAGTTTCAAATAACATTAGTAAGATTACGACATGCAATTTAGGTATTCCATAATTCAAAACATTGAGGGGTATTTACAACGGTGGGACTAAAGCTGTTTTGGCTAGAACAAAAAGTACTGTGTTGGAAAACACACTTCTTTTGTGAAAGTTAAACTGTAGCCTTTCAAAGATAGTGTTGGAAAATACACCTCTTCTGTGATCTCCAAAACTAAGTGTTGGACAGTGTTGGAAAATACAAGCATTTTGTGATTTCCAACACTAAGTAATTCACCGTAGACCTGCAAAGATAGTGTTGGAAAACACACTTCTTTTGTGAAAATTAAACTGTAGCCTTTTAAAGACAGTGTTGGAAAATACACTTCTGTGATCTCCAAAACTAAGTGTTGGACAGTGTTGGAAAATACACGCGTTTTGTGATTTCCAACACTAAATATTTAACTGTAAAGATAGTGTTGGAGAATACACTTCTTTTGAGATTTCCCACATAAAGTATTTGTTTTTTATTTTTATTTTTTCAAAAAGTATTAAGTAAACGGCAAAAACTTAACTAAGCTAACCCAGAAGAGAACTATAGATATTGTTAATTGTTAAAAGTGTTGCACAACATTTGTTTAGAAAATGTGACATTGCCAGAATTTTGTTGTACCGTGTCTAATTGTCTGTGCCTAATGCGCCCCATTCATGAATTTCCGCAGAGTTCAAAGAACATTTTGGCAGAGGCAAGCAAAAATATTAAATATTCTGAGTCATAAATTTCGAAAATAAAGAATTACCATCATATCCCAGACAAAATATATATCTATGGCTAAAAGTTGGTACGTAACATTTCCTATTGCAATCCGTTTACGAATTTGTTTTATTTGGCTTCAGCATTTAATTAATTAAACAGTTGAATAGTTGCTTACGCCATCTGGAATGGCATAGGGTATAAAATACGTAATGCTCCATAGTAAATATTGTCGGAACTCGCACATTTTCATTCAGTTTTCTAATCGTTTTTATTTTCTTTAATGATTTTGCACTCGTACAAATGCGTTAGTTTGTTTATTGCTCAAGAGCTTAAGTACAATAACAAAACTATAAGAACTAAATACATATATTTTACGAATGTATATACATTTATATATATTTAGTATATATTCGTAAAAAGAGCAAGACTATATTCGCTTGTGTGTTATCGCCGAACTATGCGCACATGTATATATTGAATATATTATAGAAAATAGTGCGGGGTCTGGGGTATTGTTTTTTTTATTCTTGAATTTCGTCAAATGCCAACAAAAACATAGAGGTCCCCCTTTGGGGACAACAGAATAACAATCCAAGGTTATTCAATCGACACACATTATCATCAATCAGATTTATCATGAATACCTAAGGTGTTTACTAAATAACATATTAAGTGCTTAGAGTTCTGGGAAAAAGGGGGTAACCTCTATGGGTACTACATATACATATTTGTGTGTACAGTGAACACTCTACTTGGGAACTCTCTTTTGGGAGTTCCAATATTTATCGTATGCCCTTGTAGAGGGTATCATAATTTTGTCATGAAATGACGGCGACATCTCCTACCCCATAAAGTATATATATTCTAGATCAGCAAAAACAGCCGAGAAATAGCCTTGTCTGTCTCGCCGTCTATCTGTTTCTATACGAACTAGGCTCTCAGTCTTAAAGCTCTCGTCTTGAAACTTTGCCTAGCTCCGTCTTTCATTGCTTATCATCAAACTGCGACCAAAGTATCTTTAGGATTCACTACTCTACCTATATATGCAAAATTTCATCAACGTCGGACCATTACATCATATAGATGCCATAGGAATAGGTTCTGGTATAAAAAACCTTATTTCTATTGAGATAACTTGACCAAGCTCGGCATTTATAAGTTTTTACTATTCAAAATTCCTCCAACATCGGACTATTACATCATATCGCTGTCATAGGAACAATCGGTCGGAAAGTAACTTCTTGTATGGAAAAGATTCCCTTTTCCAAGACATTTTCATCAAACTGAGCTTAAATATTCTAACAATCTGCAAGACCTTAGGGCAAATGTCAAGAAGGGTAATTAAATCTTCTTACTTTCTCAATTTCCTTTTACAAATACGATTCATAAAGCGAACTCTTAATATAATAAATATAATTAATTTATTGTTTAATTTGTTCGTGTATTTCTGTTATAAGCCTTTCTGTCCGTTCAAGAGAGCGTTCACTGTAATATAATATGTGATGAGCTATTGCATAATGCCAGTCATTTGTTGCAATATATGTTTATTTAAATTAAAAACAAACCTCTGCTGATGACGACAAAAACAGCACGTAAGCAACTTGTTATTGCTTATATTTATATTTATTTTATTTAATTTACATTTACATTTTTATTGTCATTGTTTATACAATAAGAATTTCTTGATGCGCGCTTAACTGGCTGAGTCGTCGACAAGTGGGCGTGGCATTCAGTTCAACCAGCTGTAAACTGATTGCATCTAATTACATTTTATTGTTAATGTTGTTGGGCTTGTTTAATTGTTAATGCACTTTGCTTTGATGTTTCCTATATGCATATACATAACCTATTTAAAAAGTATCTTAAACTCAACTTTCGGACTTACAATTGAAAGCCTTCAGAAGCCATAAGGTTAAGTATTTCTTGTCAATTGTTGTTTTATTTAAACAAAAACTAACCAATGCCAAAAAATATACAGAATTATAAAGAGAGCGATTTACTGAGTTTCTCTTAACTTGCGCTCTTCGAAAGCTACGCAGCAAAGCTTTGCCCGCGCGAGCTTTGTGCAAACTGAACTTTCAACGTACAACATTCGATGTCATCGCCAATGTGATTCACATTTCGTCGTTGACTAGGTCAATATTTGGACGGACCGTATGGAACCGGTAACGGTGAAAATTAATTCCCAGCGATTTTTCGCTGAAATTGCTTTCAGGCAAGCAGAAAATTGATCTGCTTACTGGGTCGCCACACCACACACACACACACATATGTATATTTTATATGAGTATGGCATGAAAAAGTATGTGAAAAGGGAAGTACTGAACAAATATATAGATCATATTAGTAAATATTTATACTCCTCATTAGCTCATATTGAGTCAAATTTGAGCGTGAGGGCTTAAATTGAAATTTAGATGTTCGCATTATATCAGAAAAGTAAGAAAAATGCAGATTTTAATAGCATTTTAATACCGATTTTTGTTAGTTCCAAGATATCTACCACTATATAGGGATTCTTAACATTGCAGTGGGACTGTAATACGCCATCTTTTGTTGTTAACATAATGTTAACTCAATGTTAATTGTTATGGAGCAAAATTGATCAGATTTGGTCTCACTCGCGCTCTTATCACTACTTTCTGGTCAAATAGCTGATCTGGCTAGCGACAGCTCATATATATATCTTGACATATATAATTTTGATAAAATAAGGAAGTACAAAGAAAGATTTTGGAGTAACACAGATCTCCACAGTTGAGTTGCTTAAAACGCCATCTGTATTTCCTAAATACAGGGTATCTCTTCAGTCGAGTACTATGGTCGAGCGCAAACTTATTTGTTATTTTTTAATAGCCGCTACATACTATATGAATACGTATCGGTCATTCACACACACATATACACATTTGTATGTTTGTAATTAATATTTTTGCTTTAATTTTTGAGCGTATGAATCAGTTTTCCATTTGTTTGTTTTTGGGCTAGACTGCAATATACGCGTGTCTATATGTATCTTTGGGATATTATGGTGCGTTGCTCCGGTAATTTGTACGCGTATTTTTTATTTATTTTTATTCGTTTCTTGCTTATTTCACATCACGTTTTTTTTCATATATTTTCGTATATTGAGCCGCATTATTCATAATTCGCTGACAGCAAATAAAAACAGCAGCAGCAACGTGACTGACAAAAGCGCATGCTTAATTTGTAGTTTATCATAAGCCAAGTGCAATGAACCGACATTCAGTGCAACCAAGGCACCCTGTATAGGCAGAGCTGGTATAATGTGGAGCACACACATATCTACACATATGTATGTCTGTATATATAGAGAAGACCTGGGGCAGTTTTGAAAACATTTAACCGTTTCACCTCGCTGAACTTTGCGCACGGGGCAGGTAATTTAAGCAAACAACAAATTCAACGAGCTCACAAAATAAGCTACAAACCAATTTGAATCTATGGTGATGAGCGCAAGATGAAAGACTATGAAATTTTTGTATAGGTCGTTAAAGGCCAAACGCAGTTTCATCAGTTGCTGCCACACAAAAATGTGGGAATACACATAAACTGACTTTCATAAATAGATTTAATATTTGAAGTGCCTGGCAACAATAACGAGCTTTAACAAAATAACTTGGGCAATATTAGAGCTTATAATATTTATTAAAAACATGGGTATGATTATTAAAACCCATAACATAGCACCCCAAGAGCTTTAAGTGTAACATCAAGCTGTTAGCTTTGCATCTGCTTAACAGAGTATGCATCTGAATAATCTTAACAGTTTGATGCATTTGCAGTTATTTGACAAACAAGCAAATGTTAATCAGCTGTCAGTTCTAAGAGCTTATAAGCGAATATGTGCTTGTGGGTTTACTTACAGTGGCTTAACATTAACAGGCCTTAACATCGTATATAAATGTGAATTCACATAAATTTAACGTCGTGCTATATGCTAATTTAAATTTTACTGTTGTTTTCTTTTTTTTATGGCAAATTGCCTACTCGTGTTTATCATAGAAGCTTACAAAGCGCAGCCGCCATGAGGGAGAGAAAGGGGCTACCTCTTTGGCTCTGATGGTAACAATTGTGTTGCATTTAATGCCTAGGGGCGTGCGTACCGGTTCATAATATGGACTCTCTATGGTAATGTCACGCAAACAATTTACATAAATGACGTCGCTTCCGCTTTAAGCAGCGGCGCAGCCAACAAGAACAGCAACAAAAAACTATGGCCAGCAAACGGTGGAGAATGAGAGAAAAAGTGTAGCGAAAAACGCAATTGTGTCTGTCTGATTGGATTGTTTGGTGCGGAAGTGTGAAAGCAATCGATAAAAAATAATTTACAGAGCGTCCCTGCTGCTAACTACAAATAACGGCAAATGTTTGCTCGACAGATAACAGAAGACAGAAGACAGAGAATGAGAGAAAAAAGAGAAGCAAGTTAAAAAAAAATAAAGCATATGCAACTGAAACCCATTTCTTTTGGCCAAAACAACAAAACCCACTAACCAACTTCACGGTTTGTTGGCAATTTAATTTGCCTACAAATGTTTTTGTTTTTTTTTTTTTTGTAAGATTTCTTTGGGCCACCTGCGTCAAGTGCTCATTGCCTTTGGGGCACGCCTTCTTAAAGTTGAGAATTTGTTGGAGCAAAGAAAACGAAATTTGTGTGGCACACGTGTTGGCAACACAAATTAAAAAACATTAACACACTTTACGCTTTTTGGCCAGGTTTGGGGGCCAACCCCTTCTGCTTGAAAAACTGAATTTATGTTTAAAATTGTTCTTTGAAGAAATATTAAACATTCTTAAAGCAAGTAGTTATAATATTATATTTGGTTAGCTTGAAACGTGACTTGTTCATTTCAATCAATAAACGAAACGATGCAACCCCCGGAAAACCACCCGGCAAAAAACAGACATAACCTCAAAGTTTGCCATGTTAAGAATCGCGTGTCTGAGAACGTTTGAGGTAGGAAATGGGCAAAGGAAAAACATGTCTAAGGTCATAGACATAACTGTGCAACATATGTTGCTATGGTGCTTTTAATTTTTGGGGGTTGGTACGAGAAATCGTTATATGTCCATAGATAATATACATGCACAAAAACTTGGATTTATATACATATATACATTTGTGTAGGTGTGAAAAGGTTTCCGCTTATGACATAAGCATTTGGTGTGGGTGACAACACTCGAGAACATTTGCGGTTAATTATTTATCTGCCTTTGGTGCATTATGTATACACTGTTCCGCGCAGCTGCACAACTGCAACAAATCGACAAAACTGAAACTATTTTTATTTATCGATTGGCAATTTGTTGTTTTTGTTGTCAAGAAAGTCACCCTCTTGCATCTCTTTCGCACGCCCAACCATGATTTGGCAATGATTCTTTACTATTTTGTTGTTGGTTTTTTTTTCGTGCTTTTATCAAACATTTTTAGTAATAACAAATGTTAGTAGTTTACAATTAAATAGTGCTTTTTATTTATATTTTGTTATTTCTATGGGACAGACAAAAGACTGAAGATGCGCCACCACCTTTCACTTTTTTTTTATATACATATGTTGAAAATTTTGGTTGAATGAATTAAATCTATTGTCACGGGATGCTGTTTATGCGGCATTTGAACAATCAATATATCTAACAGAAAGACAGAAAGTAGAAAATGTTGTACGCACCTGTCGTCGGTGCTGATTCCAGGCTGCACTTGCCTGCACTTTGGGCATAGAAAAGCACCGTAACGAGCAAGGAAAGCGGACATACGAGACCAGGTTATTGTTGTTATTGCTGCTGCTGCTGCTGTTGTTGTTGCTTTTCCGCACACACACACACACACACACACACAGACACTCAGCTCAAATATAAAATTTCTTTCTTTCACCCGACACGGACTTAACTGGTTTTTATTTTTAACTGCACCACACCGTCGATCGTCTTCACAAACAGACCAACAACTTTTAATTAAATTAGCACGATTTATGTGTAGAAGAAATCAGCAATTTTGGCTACTGGCGCATTAACTATTAATTCTACTGCTCTTAGCAGCTCATTTTTCACTACTGTATGACCAGCACGCATACACATGTAAAGTGTCGCCGTCGACCCGTCTGTTGTATTTGTTCTAGAGATGTAAGTGATATAAGAAAACATCGCTGCACCGATTTCGACCATCGATTCACATTTAGGATTTACTTGAACTGAATGTATCGATATGGCTATTGAGATTTATTTCATGTATGCCAATAATTGTTTATTTTCTGCCATCTTTTGGTAAGTTATAATTAGTATGTTATATTAAAACATGCTTACGATGGCATTATTGGCATTGTCGATATATTTGCGACACTTGCTGGCAAGTGTTTGAAAGTGGAAAAAACTATCGATTAATTATGATCGGTACAAATATCGTAATGCATTTGCTTTTAAATTTGATACCGCGCGAGTCAATAATTTGTATAGCTAGCATATCTGAAATGAAATTGTCAAAGTTTCAATTTAAATTTTATTTAAAAATATACATATTATTAGTTGTAGTTATTTATAACGCTGGGCATTTTGTTTCTGGCGTTGTAAAGAGCAGCAAAGCGGCTACACATATGAATTAACAATATAGAACAAAGATAGATATATAAAAGAAAGTAAACATAAAAAATGGATAAAAAAAAGAATTATTAAACACAAATTAGCGATTTTATCAGCATTGTTGTCTGTGTGTTCACGTGTAATTATAAGGGGGAAGTTAACCAATAGTTAAACACACAGAACTTAAGGTCACCGTAATTATGTTCATGTAATTTTTGGCGCTCTGGACACAACAGCCGTATCATTCTCATGGTTCGAACGGCCAATTGTAATGCCCTGATCATCAGCCAACTCATCATCGTCCTGGTCGGCGTTTTCAAGCTGTTTCTGACGCTTGAGTCGCAGCTCGAATACCTCGCTAATGGCATCGCGAAAGCAAATAAAATTGTAATCTATGACGCCCTGCCGATTGAAATTTTCCTCACGCAGTATGCAGACCAGGGCTAAAAACTTGTTAACCTCCCGCATATAGAGTATCGTATTGTTATTTAGTTTAATGAGACTAGAACTGCCACTGTCAAAGGCAGTTTCTTCAGAGCTGAGGGCAAGATAAAGAACATTTAGAGAGTGTGCTTATTTTGGCCGTACTATTATTTACCTATAGATGCTGGACAGATCAATGACCATATCGATCATGTCACAGCATAGTTCGTAGGCTTGCATATCAACTGGTGATGAGTCCGTCGCAATATAGATTTTGGACACAACATCAAAGAGAAATGCCTTCTCTATGCCAGAGTTCTGTAAAGTAATTATGGTTATAATTATGGTTACATTATAAAGTTTCCACTTACTGGTATGAAAATGTTTAATAAATTCTCCAGCGTGGGCAGCTGTGGTATCAGCTTCTGTACAACCTTCGAGAATGCCTCAAATATCGAATGATCGTATATCGAAGTTAAATGAAAACTTAGATGGATTTGATCGAGGCCCGCCTCGCTGAGGTCATCCGATGAGCGTTGATGTATATCACGTTGTGATTCCATTTTGGAATCATCGCTGATGCCATCAACCTATGGGAAAGCCAACAGCTGCATGAAAACGACAATTGTTAACAGGCTGCTATCTAATTACCTTATGTATGAAAACCTCGAATTTGATGCGTGGATTCACTTTGTACGCTTTGATGACCGTGTTCTTGAACTTGGTCAGCGCTTCGATGTAGTCATCCTTTGCATCAATCACAAAAACAAGCGCACCACAGCCGCCAAATATCATATCCGAATCGAAGGTGGGCTCTATGAAGTCAATTTGACCCGGAAAATCCCAAATTTGAAACTGTACAAAGCTGGAATTATTGATGTCATCCTTAACAATTTTGCTTGTCGACTCGAGGAAGAGCGTCTCATTGGGCGACATCTTGTGGAAGACGACCTTCTGTATGGAGCTCTTGCCGGAGCGCCGCAGACCCATCAGCAATATCCGAGGTTTTGTCTCGCTGTTGCTGGTGGCATTCGGTTCCAGGTCCAGGCCATCCTGATCATAGGCACAATAGCCAAAATCTTTTGGGAATGGATCCTCTGGGTAGTCTTCATGTTCGTAGCTCTAGAAAATGCGATGCAAGAAAATATTGCATTAAATACTTTACTGACTATATAAAGAATTTAAGATAACCGAGTAAAGCTGAGAGCGATAATATTGTTGTGCGCACTCTGTTGAAAGCAATGCAAAAACTGACTCATTTTCCAAGTTTCTGTCCTAATTTATCTTGCAAACGTTTAAGCATCAAGTTTTCCGCATCATTTTAAATTTACAGCTAGCTATTAGTTTCGGATCACATCATTGTGCCGCCCAGGTCCAATTTCTAGGGCTTCTTTGTTTATTTACCATGGTGACGTAAGCGTGAGTTGCTCGTGCACAGCTGATGTATTTAACATGCAGTTAGCTCAGCGCTCGCTTTTTGAATATTATAAAACTAAATATAAACAATTAAGTTTATTTAAAAATAATAGCACACAACACAAAAACTGTTTCTTATCGGTGACAAGGTGTGTACACAACAGCTGCAAAACAGCTGACCATCAGTTTTGTCAAGTGTGTGCACACCTGCTGCGCAATTAGTTCAAACTAAAATACTGACATGGTATTTTTTAGGATGTTTTTTATTGTTATTTTGTTTGCAATGGAATGGCTTGTGATCCACATGTCTTGTATGGTTTTTAATAGTATTTTTATGTTATTTGCACTTAGTATTTTTTGGTCACACTAATTAAATAAGTTTTGCCTAATTTTTTGCTGAACGTGAATTTCTGTTGTTTTTATAAATAATCTAATGAAATGGCAGCGCGTGGCTTATTACTAATGGGCCAATGCATGCCCTGCATCAAGCACAATGCCTCCAAAATACGTATACGCCGCATGGAGCTGGACAAAAACCTGAATATGGTTCGCACTGTTTGCGTATAGTATGATGGAATTTAGATTTATGATTCGCATTGTTTACAGTACTTTAAAAAGGATACGTTTTACTTTGCCCACGATCCCCAAAAGTTGTGCAAAACCGGCGATGTGGTATTGATACGTGAACTGCCCGAGCGCATGACACGCCTCATAACGCACAGTGTGGAAAAAGTGGTCTATCCGCTGGGTGACATAACCGATCCCATTACCGGCAAAAAGGTTGTGGTCGGCAAATACCGCGAGGACATTGAAATGGCCAATCAGCTGTTTGGCAAATCGGACAAGGCATTTGACTATGAGAAGGCGCCGCCACGCGGTCGTCTGGAGGGCACCAAGGATTTCACGCACGGCGAGACGTACATCAAGTACCACGAGGATGGCACGGAACAGCCTTTCGCCGTGTAGCCTTCGCTTGTTAAAGAATAGTTGCCTTAAGTATGCTCATAAGTAGTTAAACAGTTGCGAGTACATTTTACTAAATATTTTTATTTAAAATGTCGATAAATGTTTTTTGAATGCATTTGTTTTTGTTTGTTTTTGTATTTTTGTTCTTGCCATATTTGTTGCCAGCATTCAACTGCAAACGGTTGCAGCTGAGCGCTGGAATGAAGTGTTGGAAAACGTGCGAAAACATTTCTTTGTGGTGTTTGTTTACGTTTCCGTTTCCGTTTCGATTCGATTCGATCCGTGCCATAAATTAAATTGTTAACTAATCACAATTTCTTACGATGCTAAAGTTGTACTGGAGTATAGGGTTCGCCACGTGGGCGTTGTCATCGCATAGTTTTTGCTGCAAGTAGAATATTGGATTAGATTCTGGAAATACGTTCCATATATTATAGATTTTATGCGTTGCCCTACTTGTTCCAGGTCTGGGCTGGCGCGCAGCATAAAGTCGCGCAAAAAGTTGCCACGACTGGGCATGTCCAGTGCTAGGATTAGCTTGTTGTTGCCCAGCTGCTTGAGCACCTTGACCCAGCTGCTGGCTGGCGCGTCCTCATCCTCGTTCAACTGTGCGCCCGCATTCGACTTGGATTGATCCTCATCGCTGCAAATGGACCACTGAAGCGGCTTGCTGGAACTGTAAAGGCCAACAATTGATTAGTTTATATGCGATTTCGAGTTATCCTTCGTAGCCCAAAACCCACCTGAAATGCAGCTCCAAGCTGACGGCCTGCAAATAGCGCGACACGGGCACAGTGTAGCTGACATTCAGGGAGCTGCCGGAGCTGGGACAAAACTGGGCCACGTCGATAGTCTGATTGTTAAGCCCCGCCAGCACGCAAGTGCTAATGCTCCAGCAATCCAGGGGATGAGGCATTGCCGTTGCTGTTGCCGTGGCCAGCGGCGGGACGGGCGCAGCCTTGGCCGGCAGCTTCACCTGATCGGCTGTTGCTGGCGGCGCCTCGTTTAGGACCGTGTAGAGGGCATCCTCGCCGGCGGCGCCGTCTGCTTCGCTGGAGTATTGCTTGGCCCGGGCGGATGTTGTGTGCGAGCTTTTGCCATGATAGACACGCGCAGCGGCCGTATCATTGCCGGACACGGGCTGTATGATCAATATGTCGCCATCCGACTCCTGCTCGGCGGACTGCAGCTCATCCTCGACATGCTGGTGCTTGACATTGACATCCACATTGTCGGCAACAGCTGCAGCCGGCTGCAGCTCCTCAAAGCAGGTGGACTGTGCGACATTAGAAAACTGTAGGAGCAACCACTCGAGGATCAATCAAAAACCCACCTGACAATTATCGCTGACGGCCTCGTCGCCATTGCACTCCGGCGGCTGGCCAAACAGCGGCGTCTTCAGGCTCTTGTGCCTGATCCAGTCCAGACTGCGCTGGTTCGCAGAACGGCGACCCACTGTGGAATCGCGCAGACCCGCATCCGTATACTCGAATCCGAACAGCGCCGTGATGGGATTATCCGCGGTCTCCGACTCGTTGGTATTGCTTAGGTTCTGCAGATCGAGCGCATCGGCGCTGTCCTTGGCCCCGCTGCTGTTGCGCACAGCTGCTGGCGGCGGCACGTCTAGGGCCAGGGCGAGCGTGCTCTGCACCTGGCTCTGCTCGGTGCTGACCTTGTTGGTGGTCAGGGCCAGATTGGCCGTCGGCGGCGATACGGTCTTGTACACATTGTAAATGGCCGCATCGCCCGCGTTCAGCTTGCGTATGGCCTGGCCGGCATCGGCGGCCAGATTGTCCACGGCGGTGCTGGCAATGGTGCCCACCACCACGATGTGCTCGTCCAGCTTGGTGGGCTGCTTCAGCTGCTGCTGCTGCTGCTGTTGCTGCTGCTGCTGCTGCAGCTGGGCATCCACGTCTATGGAGTTGTTCTCAAAGTCCTGGGCGAGCGTTAAGCCCGGCGGCTTCTCGGAGGAGGTTTCTGTATCGTTGTTGCTGGCCGCCAGGGTTCTGCCCACGGCTGTTGCGCGCACGCTCTGCAGCAGTTTCTGTGCGACAGCCGGACGCAGTGCCTCCTGGCTGACGGGCCACTTTGACTTGTTTTTGCTCACAATTGTCTTGTTGTTGTTGTTGTTGCGTGGAGCTGTCGTGGTGATGCGCGGATGCAGCTTGGGCAGCGGCAAATTCACCTGCGGATTGTTCATCACCGCCGTCAGCTCCTGCTCCTCCTCCTCGTCGCCCTCGCCCTGCCGCACGGCTGTGCTGCGGCCCGTGGGCCGTGCCGTGCTGGCCGCATAAATCAAACTGGGCCACGCCCCATGGGTTTTGTTCTTGAAGAGCGTTTGCAGGCTCTGCTGGAAATTGAAGCGATCCTCGTCACTGAGTCGCGTCGGGCCATCGGCTCGAAAGAGGCGACCGTCGCCAAACACGGGAAACCCGTCCATGTGCTGCTGCTGCTTATTGTGCTCCACAAAATACAGCGTGGACACGGCGGCCAGACTGAGAGGGAGAGAGAGAGAGAGAGAGAGTTAAGGAAACGGGGCATAAATGTGCGGCATGTGCGGCTTACCAGGCGGCCATCACAATGATCAGCAGAAAGATGATGATCTGCATCATGCGGCTGGAGCAGATCTCGTAGCCATCATTGCTGCGATTGTTCGGCTTGTGCAGGCGCGGCGGTAGAATGCAGCGTGGCTCCAACAGATCCTTGGCACGCAATTGGTGGCTATTGTGACTATTGTTGGCCCGCTCCAGATTCTCAATGCGCGTCTCCAGCGAACCGGTGACCTTGCACAGCTCCTTCACGGCCCCAATGTTCTCCATTAGTATACGATCCTAAGCATGCATATATAAAGAGGGGCGTGTTGAAATATATTTGTGTTGTCGTGTTAACGAATTTGACAGCTTTATGGAAGTGTACACGTTTAATGCGTCGATAAATTGGATTTAGCTGTTTCGAATGGCATCCAAAAAAAATTTGGGATACGCTTTGGTAACCGAAAACAATTCAAAATTGAACAGTAGAAGGAAAACCATTTAAGTGTGACCAAGACGAATCACCAATTAGTGTGTACACATTTAAAATGCATGAGTTTCTAACCTAAACTTAATGTGACCAAATATTTAATGATGAAGGCAATTATTTATGAGCAGCTCTTTTTACCGTTATTGTTTGGAAAGTGACCATAAATAATTGCAGCCAATTGCAGGCATATTCAGTATATAAGCCAGATACTCATAAAAATCCTTTTTTAAAGGAAATTATTGTGTCTTTGCTAAAAGAATGACCGTAAACGCAAGCGCGACTATACAGTGGGCTTATTAAAAGCTTAGGAAAATATAAGAGTGACACTTATAAAAAAAAATGCAATCTTAAAGTGTATTTGTTTTTAAGGAAAAAAACAAAGAAATGGAATTTTTCGAGAACACATGCTCAAAAAATAAGACAATATGCACAAATAAAAAATTCCCTCTTAATAATTTCTTAGAATGTAGGGAAATTTGTATGCCTTGCAGTGTGAAAATATACTGTTTAGTATATATGTAGAGCATATTTTAGTTAGTTTTCCTAAATAGTGCTTGGAGCGAGTGTGACCATGCACGTGCATTGATTTTTTAAAACTTAAGCTATTGCTTCTTACCTTATTGACCAGCAAAAAGTTCTCAATAACATTCCCATTGGGCAGAACGACGCTGCCAGCCTCTTGGACCGCATCCGGTATAACCTCTCGCACCTCCTGTGCTATGACGCCCGTATCGACGATTTCCCTGGTGTCACTCTCACGCCGCAAGCCCGAGTGCACGGCAAATTCCGGCTCGTAGCGATAACGCACAATGCGTATCTTTTGCATATTGCGCAGCTGGACCGATGTGTCCAGTTCGGCGATTTCCTGTTTGGCGCGACTGTCGCTGGGCTGGACAATGTGGCCGGATACCTTGAGATTGCCGTGCACCACCAGACTCTCGTCTGGCCGATCAGTGTTGATGCCGACACGGCCCGCATGAAAGATGGACTCCTGGGTGATGCCGCGCTGCCAGCACAGATCCACATCGGACTCAAACTGGCCCGGATTCGAGGCGCGCACAATAATGCGCTCGCTGCCATGGCTAACGACCGGAAAATGGCCGGATGTGGTGTGCACATGCAGCCCGACGACCAGCTGAAAGAAACGCTGCTCCGGATTCGGAC